TTGGCCTGCGTGCGGGCGTTTCCCACTGCGGCTTGTTGCATGCCACAACGCAACTTCCCTTCCACACAAATTAGTGAATGTGTGCTTGTCCTCTGTGTCCCTGTCACTCTGTGTGTGTGTGTGTGTGTGTGCGTAGGTGTTTCTGTGGGATTATGCTGATTTCGGATGACAGTTTCCCTGGGCATCCGTGTGCGTCACTGGCTCGCCATTCCGAGTCCAGCTCCAAATGGGTTTATCGCAATTTTAACCAGGCCATTATTATCCCGTTACTTTTACGAAAAATTCGTGCTTTTCCATTACAGTCATTGTTGGTTTTTGTCGTCCCCATTACAGTCGAGCATTTTTAATTTGTATCTCATTGGTTGAATCCGGGATTAAGACCTTGAATGATATATATTTCTCGGAATATTGTTGAACATATTAGCCGCATTAAAATATTTTAACATGGTTCACTGATCAAATCTGGATTATGGCTATGAGAGACCTGAACATTGAACGAGTTCATTGAAATATTATTATTAATTTGCAAAAATTAACCGCCCAAAGTCTGGCTTCCTTCCTTACAAATATACATCTTATAATCCTGGTTGGGAAAACCCTTAAAAGCTCTTGAAATTTTCCACAAGCCAACAATCAGACTCCTTTTAACTTGGAGTATTCTGCCTATGTTTTTCCCTTCCTTGGCTTTTCCCAGACTGCTGTCCTTGGCTTGCTGATTCATCGCATATTCGGTTATCATTTATCCATTGGAGTAGGCCCAATGGCTTTGACCATCCATCCATCCAGCTAGGCCGTGATGGATATCGCACGCACGTGTTTTCTTTTGTGGGCCACGCGGCGTATGCGTAATCAATTGTCAACAGGCTGGCAAAACACTCACGAGAATGGATGCACTTAAAAAAAAAGCTGAGTGAGTTTGGCATTAAAATTTTAAAATAACTTTACTTTCTCACTTTATTTTTATATCTCAAAGGAAGAAGTTAAAAATGCTCTGGTGGTTATCTGAGAATTTGAAGATTTTCTATATTTAATATATCGATTTTTTTTTGAGTGTTGGGGAAGTAAGTGGAGAACTGAGCCAACTTCAAAGCCAACCGATGGGTGGCCACTTTGACTACTTTCCCCTGTGTCAGCTACCTACTCCTCTTACTGCTCCAGCACCTTCTCCTGCTCCTCATCCTTCTCCTCCTACTGTTGTTGTTGCTAATGTTGTTTGGCTTGCTGACGAAGATCAAACAGCCACGCCAAGTGTCGGGCTCTGCGCTCCACGGAGGGGGGGTGTGCAGAAGAGGTCATGCCAAATGGGCGGGCCAAAGTTCAGCAGGAGCCGGGACAGGAGCAGGAACCGGAGCAATGTGCACTCGAGATAAACGTGCGAGGCAAACCGCAAAAGTGACAAACCCAAAAAAGGCAAACACAGTGTTAGTAGCCGGGAAAAGGAATAATAAAAAAATACGAGAAAAAAGGAAAACACCAGCAGCAGAAACAGAAACAGAAACAGAAACAAGGGCAACGTTGTTTGCATCCTTCCCCGATAAACCACTGAAAAATGCTTGCCAACGGACTAGGCGGGATTTTTGTGGATTTTGTGTGTGTGGTTGATTTTCTTTTTATTTAATTTTTTTCTGGACTTTTTGCCGTTCAATTTTAATGAGTTTGTCGGCAAAGCACACGAATTTTTGCCTATATTTGCAACTTGTGGACAAATCGAACAGACCGCAAAAGGGGTTTTCAGGGTCTCCAGGGTTGCCCGTTGCCGAGGCGTTAGGCATAAAGTCAACTAATTAAAAAATCTGCCTAAGCCAGTGGCTCGCTTTTTTGGGGACAGTGTCTTTGGCCAGTTTATCGCCAACGTGGCCAGAAAATTCGCAGCCCAAAACAAACACAAAACACACCATGGGGCATGGGCTCGCCCGTGTCCATGTCCTTTTGCCCATTCCTTTAGGCTTGATGGATATCCTTCGGCCGGCCATTTGGGGGTTTGTTTACTGTGGAATAATCTAATGAAGTGTAAACTAAGCCAACGAAAAATCACACCATTTTCCAGTTCAAAAGTGTAAATTTAATTTGTACAACATATCGTAAATATTAAATTTAACAGAGAGCTGGATAAATATCTCTATTAAATATGCGAGATATATATATATATATATACTATATATATTTGAAAGCTAGAGTTTGATGGAATATATATTCATTTATGGACTAGGAATACAGGACATTCGGTAATAAATTTATTTCAATTGGGGACAGAAATACAAAATAGAGGAGGTCCGGAAAAAAAGGGGCCAAAGTGTTCTAGAATAATGTATTATTAATACGAGGCAATATATTCAATTCAAAATCGATGGTGGTTGAGGCTTGGGAAATGGGACAAACTCAAGGGCCAAAAAATAAGGTTAAGTATAAGCAGTCTGTGCTGCTATCGGGCAGACATCCACGCATTTTCCGTGTCTACAAAGTTTCCCTCTCACGATATGCTTCTTATATATGTATGGTACAAAAATATATATATTTATATATATATACATATATGGCTATGTATATGTGCCATATATCTTTTTTTTTGTTCTCCCTGCACCACTTCAACTTCAATCTGAGCCCGCCCTGCGAGTCTGCCCGCTTTTATTTGTGCTTGGCATGGAAATCGCATTAGAATCTATTGCTTCACCTGACGACCCATTTCCCTCAGCCATTTGCATTCCCGCCTTAATATGCCGCACTTACGAAGAGGTCCCGCCGCCGCCTCCTGGCTGCCGCCGTGCATTTCCTTTATGGCATTTTCCGCTCGCCTGCCCTCACCTTTTTCCTGAATTTGTATCTGAATTTGTAGCTGTTTCTGAGGCTGTGTATCTGTCCCTGTACCTGTATCTGCTTCTGTCCGTTTTCCTTTTTTTCTTCTTCTTCTCAGGTCAGAGTTTCTGCTCTCCTAAGAGCCGAGCTGGTCTGCTCTGCTCACTCGTACTTTTCGCTTCACTTGTCCTGCCAGCCAAAGAAATCCTTTCGGAAAAGGCTTTACGTCTGGCGCTCGGTAATCCGCTTTCGACGTAGGAGCACGTGGAAAAGAAGAGGGAAAACTATGCCTGCTGTCAGGCCTACCTAAATCTATTGATGGCTCCTTTGCGGGTATCGCAATCGGGGCTCAAGTGGGTGGCGGAGAAAGGAAGCCCTAATAATATTCAATTTTATTTCTCCTAATTGGGTCGCTGATGGAGCTTAAAACGACAGAAATTGAATGGCAAAATGAAAATTAAGTGAACGAAAGCTAACTATAATACCGTGTGTCCTTTTAAAATGCTCACTGGATTCGCATATTTACTTTCAAGTAAGCAACTTTCATCTATCAATGGGAGATCATTTTAAACGGTCTTAGTCTTAGTTTTAGAGTCTCAGGGTCTCAGAGTCTCAGTCTCAGAGTCTCAGTCTCAGAGTATCAGTCTCAGAGTATCAGTCTCAGACTCAGTCTCATAGTCTTAGTCTCAGACTCCGTCTCATAGTCTTAGTCTCAGACTCAGTCTCAGAGTCTCATTCTTAGAATTCTCTTGTCCTTCTTGTTCTCATTTGCGATCTCGTTCCCATTCTCGTTCTAATTTTCGTTCTCGCTCGAGACCCGCTCCCGATCCCCTCCTGCCACTAATGAGGTCCGCTTATAGCTGGGACTTTGCTAATTATCTCATAGTTGCTGCTGTTCGCTGATGTTGGCTCCTGTTTATGGCTGCATGTGCTGCTGATTGTCCTTGCTGATGGTTGTTATTGCTGATGACTGTTGTTGGTGTTGTTGTTACTTGCGCTGTTTGAAAGCATTTTTGGTCCTGGCCTGGCTACATGGCAATTGGCAACTCGAGTTGCCATGACAACCACTTATGGGCTTGTGTGTCGTTGATGTCCTGACCAGCTAGCTAGCAACTCCTTTGCTTAACCAGCTGGCAATCCGATTTAAGGCGACAGTCGTTCGTCCCCCGTCTCCGTCTTTGTTTTCCATTTTCCATTTCGCAGGACCTGACCGCAATTGGCCCCACCTAATTGAAAGTGTTGCCATTGACCGCAGGCCAAAAAGGGATTTCAATGCTGGGGCTTGGAATTGCACAGCAGCAGCACCTTTCTTCCATCCTCCTTCCACCTACCACTTTCCGGCTTTCCCCTACCAAAGTTTCCACAGTAAAACAATTCGATTTCGCAGAACAGAACGAAACGGACATTTCTCGGTCACACGTGCGTGTGTGCCACATTGGCATTGCTCTATTTATGGCTCATTTTTCCCAGCTCACTCTTCACTCCGGACTCTACGGGAGCCCATCCAGCATCCTGTTCACGTTGACAACTTAACGGAAAATTCATTTCACACTTTCCCAGACAGCAAAAGGTTACACTCCTCTTCCTTTGCCCGCAACCGATGTCACTCGATAATTGTGTGGCATGCGAAAAATGCCGATTGCAAACGGAGAATCGATTATGGGATGCATCGAAATGTTGCCATTAAGGTGAAAGGTCGTGCGTAATGGAATGTTTCGTGAATTTCCGAAGCTGATTTACAAGGGTGTAACGTGATGTTTACAAAAGGTAACAAAAGGAGAGAAGAACTTTTTTCTTTTTAACTAATCGCAATCATCGTGATATAACTAACACATTTTTTTAAATTCCAACAATCATATCGATGGGAAAACCGATATTGAATCCACCAGAATTAAATGATAAATAAGAAAATAAGCTCAATTCAGCAAAAGTTATAAATTTACTAGAATTTTTACCAATTATCGATAAATATCGATAAATATATTTGACCCCTCTAGAATTATATTTTCGAGGTAAAAGTACACTCAAGCCAAAAATAGCTATAAATTTACATCAACTGCCATTAGTTTGCAATTATTATTTTGAAGAAATAATGGCTCATCGTGTTTCAAAGACATGTGGCTGCCTTCAGCTTAGATGTCTTTTTCCGAAAAGAAATTCTGGGAAAAGGCAAAAACAAAAGATATGGAGATATTTGAAATACTCACGCTGCGAGTTGGAGCGCCGGATGATGTTTTCGAGGAATGTGTTCTGCGGCGCAACCAGTCCACGTCGTCCGCCAGGCATTTTGCCGCCTACACCAATCTTTGCCTGCTGCTGCTCCTACTCCTGCTACCGCAACTGTTCCTGTTCCTGGTTATGCTATCCCGGTGTCCTTACAGTACCACTTTCACTCCCGCTTCCACGCTTCCACGCCACACCACTTCCGCTTCCGCTGACAGCTGCTGTTGGCCGGGGCGCTGAGTTGCTCTGACAACTGACAGGTGGTGACGGATGACACTTGTCAGTTGATGAATAGATGGCCGGCGGAGGAACTCCTGGTTACGCCTGGTTTCGATTTTGGTTACGGTTTCGGTTACGGTTTCGGTTTGGGGTCTCTGGCTCCTCCTCCTCCTTCCACAGGTTGGTCCGTCGGATCCAGAACGCCGTTCTGGCCCTGGAACCGATCTCGTGCTCCTTGGAACCTGGGATCTAGTTCATTCAAATTCCGCAGCGAGGACGCCGCTTCCCCGAGCGTCCGTCATTTTGATTTCGTCTCACTCCGGCTCTCTCTCCTTCTCTCTCCCTTACGTTCTCACGTTCGCTCTCTCGTCTCCTTCTTTTATTCTCTCCAGATCTCACTCACACACACACTCAGTCAGCCACGCACACTGAGAGAAAATCGCTTCGATGCTGATGACCACTTGACCATTCACACAGTCTTATCGGTTGCATATGGCACTGTAAGGTAAAGAGTGAAAGAAGGGAGTTTTATTAAATTCAGGAAAATATTAAGTAAAATTTAATTTAAAATTTGTTATATTAAAACATCAAGCTATCGATATATACTTTACGAAATTTTCACACATTACTTGTGCATCGGTTCAACAAACTTTTTTCAACCATCCAAAGGACACATTATATACCTATGTAAAGCCAAGTAAAACTGTTCCCATCTTAATTTTATACCGAATTTGAATTAAATTAAAACGTTTAACGTGTGTTAAATTAATAGAAATACAAAAGAGATTAAGATACAAATACCTAAGCTTAATTTAAGATAAAGCTTGGCATCTCCTAGAAATTCGCATTTAATCTGCATTTAATTTTGAGATCTGAGAAGGTGACACCATAAACTTTACTTATTTCTCTCGGACAATAACAATATACTAAGGATAGATATGCACAAATCGATACTCGTACTCGTAAGCACAAATTAAATTGAGGTATTATCATGACTAATTGAAAGCCAATCAATTTGGGTGCCGAAAACATCAAAACCTAATTACGCTTAAAGACAAAAAAAAAAAAAACAGGATGCAAATTTAAACATCCTGCCGAGAGGCGTTTTATTTGAAATGCAATTAGGCCTCGAAATATTGTAGTTCCAGTGACAAATTAATGACTGGTTCTTTGGAATATAACATAACTAATTGAAACGCGTCAGCATTAAATCAAACAATATTTGTTGAGAGTTTCAAGGCCATTGTCTTATCGTTACTTCAACCGCAATTTCCAATGCAAATTTGCTGTCAAGTTGCATTAATAATGCACTCTGTGCTAATTTGAATTTGGTAACATTAAGTATACGCAACGTGCTCGGTGCAACGTGCAATGTGCGCCTTTCCTCTCCTCTCCCCTGATCTGCTCCACTCTGCTTCCTTGTCGTCATTGATTTGTGCATTTGTGCAGAAGTTGTGCAAAATTTGCGCTAGTTTCGCAATTAATTATGAAATTCAAGGAGCAGACAACATGGCGTATGCGTAATGCAACGGGCAGAGTTCTTCCCCGGGTTATATACACAACAATTGCGCATCAAGTTCCAGATAATTGCCATAACTCGCACATAACTCATTCGGTAACACCACAGACCATAAGATTCAATCCTGATTAAGTGCACCCCCAACGAGCAGAAGCAGGAGCATGGGCCAGACCAGAGACAGAGCCAGAGCAGGAGTAGAACCCGGGGCAATCGACCTGCCTTCAATTAGCTGCCTCAATTACGCAACTCGATTAGCCAATTATCAGGGCCAGTAGTCGAATGAGGTCGCAATAAAATCCAGGCAGGGAATAACAGCCAACGCAGCCTGGCCTTTGCCAGTGCAGCAGCTACAAATTGACTAATTAAAGAAGACAGCCGAACAAACTTGGCAGCAAAGTTGATTCACTTGTCCAACACGCACTAATTACAAAGTGCAGGAAGTTCACCTCCTGGCTTCTGGCTGAAGCTCTTCTCCTCCTCCCCCACACAGACTGAGAGAAGGAGAGAGACCACTGGAGCAGTGACAGGCGGCAGGAACAGGCTCATTAGGATCGGATTGAGAGGCAGCAGCAGGAAGGAGCAACTGAAACACGAGGATTATGAATAGCTAGGAATCAAGGAAGCTGCAAGGAAGCCAACAGTGTCGGTCTCAGAGAAAGGGAAAGGAATAATCAACGGTGGAATTCCCAGAAGGAGCTGTGTCTGCCAGCATAAACATCATCAAGAGGGAGAAGAGGAAGAGCAGCAGGAGCTGCAGGATCTAAAATGAACAACTAACTCTGTTGATATGGCAAGTAAATAAAATTTAATAACTACAATTTAAAGCTAGAGCTTGCCTAAAACAAAGATTCAAAGTTTTTTTTATATTGAAACTCAAGTCTTAGCTATATTTCTCCCATTTGTAGATAGTTTTTTAAATGTCATTACGTCTCAAGATGGTTTTACTATGGGTAATTCCCAGCTAACACCCCCGTGAAAATGGATTTCGCCGAAAACCCCCTTTGATACAAAGCCTCTGTGCTGCTGCTTCTGCTTTTTTCCCCGATGTAGATGTTGTTTCTGCTTTTGCTTTCGCTTTCGCTAGCTGAGCTCAGTAATCTTTAATTTCATTAAAATTCAAGCTATGGCAACGACAGCTTCTTTGTGCTGGCCGCCAACCAGCTCCTTGTTGTTGCTGTCCTGCTGTCGGGCTGTCCTGATGTTTCTGCTGCTGCTGTGCTGCTGTGCTGCTCCTGGCATAAGTGCTTATTAGAGGGAGAAGCGAACACTTCAATGTAAGCGAGGAACGCTCTCAGGCATTTATGAATTTTCTGGCTTTAATGCGTGGCCCAGAAGAAGGAGCAGCAGAAGCAGGAACAGGAACAGAAGCTGGCCCAGTGGCCCAGATGAAAAAGGAGGGTCAGCGACAGGCAGTGCTGCCAAAGTGTCCTTTTTTCAGAGAGGTTTCTTAATTTTCTTAAAAATTTAATACCATATATAATGGAATATATTTTATTTATTTGTTTTATTATTCCTTAAAGCTTGTTTTCTTAAATCCAATTAAACAATTAAAACATCTTTAAGGTTATGATTGAAAATCAAATCTCTACGCGCTCTCCCAGGGCTCTCTCCTGTTTTTTAATAAGCCTGTTGCCAGCTCTAAGAGTAGACTGACATCAAGTTAAAGCCAACAATAATGTCCTACCGCCATCTCTTTTCAGTTAACACTCTTCATTGGCTGGCTTATCCTGCTCCAGCTTCAGCTCCAGCTCCTTGTTGATGCTCCTGTTATTGTTGCCGTCCTTTTTGCCCGCTTATAATACATATAATTAACTGCAACTTGCAGAGTTGCCTGTTTCCCTTATTGCCAAAGGGATAATGGACGCAAATTCATAGCTGATCCATAGCTGATGCAACCAGCAGCAGCAGGAGCAGCAGAAGATGGTAGCGGAACAATGCAGCAGGAGTAAAGGGCCAGTAGTACAAAGGATGGATTACCACGTAAGCCTCACAGCTTCCTGAACATTCTGACTATTTGTCTGAACATTGAACCCACAGAAGAAAAGCTAAGAAGTCGGAGAGAACTAAGGCAGGCAAGTTATTAAATTACTAGAAAACCATTTATCAATAATAATTTACCATTTTTCCATATAAAAAGTTTAAAAATAATAATATGGTAAAGCTGCACTTAAAGTTATCGAATACACTGCCCATATAGGTCATTGATATCGATTTCCATTGACAATGCTAATCGAGATGCGACACCGAGTCACTCATTTTACATATCCGTGTCCCCGGCTGAGTGATCCCCGACAGTCGAACACTTTTGAAACGCACTGTACTGACAGTTCGAGGACCAATCGCAAATCGCCCATAGATGCGGACGCTGATGGTGATGGTGATGGTGATGGTGACGCTGACGTCACAAGCCCCTAAGAGGAAGAACCCTAAAAAGGAGGAGCCCCGAAAAGGGGAGAAAATAGGAAAAGTCAAGCCTCTCAGAGCACTCGCCTATTTATAATAAATGGTATGTCGCCACGCCCCTTAATATGGCGCCGCTATTCCAACAGACCAGCATCCCTACAGCCTGACACAGTTGCCACATCGCCACATTGCCTGCCACATGCCTGCCGCCCAGCCCCTAGCCCCAAGCCTCATTTCCCCCATGGTCCACTCACTGTGCACCTTGCAACACATGAAAAACGAGAGGAGTTTTGATGGCAAGGACCAAACTACAACTATTTTGGACGTGGCTGTGGCAGGTGCACTAGCAGAAAAGGTGTCCCTCAACTTGAATTATAAAAAAGGTATATAAAAATAGTTTAAATATCAATTTGGTTTCCGATTTAAAAGCAGAGTATTGGCCATCAATAGAAATTCTATAATAAATATATAAAATAAGAAAACCCCTGTAATAAACTGTAAAAGTATAACTTTCAGTGTGCTGACGCGGCGACTGAGTGACCGACCACTGAAGTGGGCCGGGAAAGCAGAGCAGGACAAACGATGCCACAGGATGACGCTCACCTTGCCCCACAAAGCGCAGCAACAGCAGCAGAGGCAGGAAAAGCGGAAAAGCAGAGGAGCAGAAAAGTGGAAAAGCGGGAGGAGCTGTGTGGAGGCGACTATACATTTTAATTTGTTGCAGCTCTAAGAGTTCATCCCCATGTTCACCCACCGAATTCCCCTTGAAGCTGCCCTCTCATTTTATGGCTCACTTCAAGTACGTCATAAAAATTAACATGAGAGGGTCAAAGGAGGCGGGGGCTGGTGGCCAAGGGTTATGCAGGAAGGGGGGATGTGTTAAAAAGGATGCAAGGAGCCGACACAAAATCCAATTGACATGGCCGGGGGGAAATCTAAATGAATTGAACTGCAAAAAAATACCAAGATTAAATTAGAGAATCCTAATTTAAAGTCTACTTTTGGGCATATTTTCAAAAGAAATTAAATCTTAATTCATATTTTAGTCGATGTCTAATTTTGAAGCTAATATATTAATACATATTGTCGTTGGTATTGATAAATATATATTTTACTCTTACACTATAAAACTAGAGGGATTGCAGCCTAAAAGAAGCATATCTTAAAGCCTACTTTTGGGCACACTTTTAAGAGAATTTAAATCTTACGTGAAGAACTTCACCGTTAGAGCCTCTTGCCTTCTAAGAAATGTTAACTTAATCAAATTATATTCCTGATAAATATTTAGATCCATAACTGAAACTTTGGGCAAAGAATCCCAGTCAGCCTACACCTCTGCATATATGTAGGACCGTGTATGGGTACATACACACACACCTCTGCTCGCCCCATTCATTCGGATTTA